GGCTGCGCGTGCACCGAGCGCAGGCCCGGGCTGGCCGGCTCGGGGAGCACCGCTAGCTGCCGGGCTCTGGCTCTGCTCTGCTCTGCCTGCGAACGGCGAAAGTGGCGATTCGGGCGCGATCGAACGTTGGTGATAAGAGGTAAAAGTAAGGTGCAGCGGCATTGACGGGACCACCGTAACTGCTTTCGAAATACTGCCCAAATTGGTATCCTTCCGTTTGGCCAAATTACTTTTCGCCAAATTTCACTTCGCAAACAACTTATCGCCAAAGTTTCATTTCCCAAATGAACTTTTAGCAACTGTACTTTTCGCAACTAATTCATTTGGTCAAATTATCATTTGGCCAAATTTTACTTGGCAAATGTTTATATAGCAAATGTTTTATGTTGCCAAATATTATATCCCAAATAATTTGTTTGGTCAAATTGCCACTTCACATACTTACCCACCGTTACCTACCCACAAATCAAAGCATAAGGCACATGATCATGGTTTTCACAATAATTTTATGTAAAACATTGTAGAAAATAGTATGGTTGCAAAAAGTAGGTATTGCAGAAAATAGTAGGTTAGGTTAGGTTAGAACAGTGACCCTTAATGCGCGAAGGCGAGCGAAGCGTGCCGCGGTAGCGGCCGCCGAGCGCTAGAATCACCTCTATTGTTAATGAATCATTTGGAAATTTCGATACAAATAATGAAATAAGGAAATTTATGTAGAACAAATGTTATATTAACTACCCACTAAACAAAATAGTAACCAAAAGCTAATTTGTATACCATTCTATGCACCAATCAAATTATTTTGTAAATAGTTTATCGTGAAATATTTTTGCCTAATGAAACATTTGGCAAACCATACTTTGCCAAACAATAATTTGCCAAACAATAATATGCCAAAAAAAACATTTGCGAATTAAAAGTTTGCAATAAGTTGCTTTGCCAAATGAGAATTTGCCAAATGAAAATTTGCGAAACGTTGTTTGCGATGTGATAATTTGGGAAACGTTTTTTGGCCAAACATTAGTAATCCGCCCAAATTACGTGCAGAAAAGTGTCATTTTATGTCTTTTATTACAATTGCGAGTTTTCACGCGTTGTTTTCTTTAGCAATAATACATGGAAGACAGTACAGGCAGACGAAAACCGATTGCGATTGTTCAAGTTCGAAAACTTTTTTCAGCAATACATTTATGTGAATTTCTGACAACTTTCAAGAACTTTGAGTTTTAATACTACGAGCAACGCCGCGTAGAAAGCGTCGCGGGCGCCCCCTGGCGCAGGTTGCGACTTCATTATCTTTTTTTACCGCTTGAACTTTCAAGCGACGTTCGTGACACCACGACCTTCGCCTCATAGAAATCGATTCATTCTAAGATTCATAAAACTGCAACGAATGTACGAAGTATGTAGATACGAGCGTGTAATGCACTCGGTAGGCACTTTTTTGTCACTAAACAATTGATTGATATTTATATGTGTTTTATAATGATTATGATAGATGTCGTATTGTTAAACGTTACCCTCCACTGATTAAATAACTGAGCGGCTAATATTTACAAAACCATTAAAAATAATTATTGTTAATTAATGAGTTTAATAACCAAACGTAAACAATTAATGAGTTCTTTTCTGACACTACGATTAGATAGTGGCAATAAGATAGCGAGTTTCATGATTTCCAATGACGAACAATATTAGTAACTTAAAAGTGCTGTCAATATCACTCTTACAAAAATAATTTATTGATTGAGCAGTTTTATTGGATGGCTTTAATATTTCGCGGATAAAGTAAGAGTTACCATCCAGAAAAGAGTTAAGAGGTATTTGCATTGTGTCATCGAAAAAATGGCGGCAATGAACTGCGATTGTAGTAAAACCGCTGCGATGCGACGGCGCACGGCGGGTCGCGCGCTGACCCCGCTTGCACTTTCGACCGCTCATCGCCATTAGGCCGCGGGACGCCTGTGCTTACGTGAATCGCACAATTGCCTTTCATTTTTGTTTTGGACAATAAAATATTACAACTTAAACTTAAAGAATTTCCGGAATTTCGCAGTAGATATTTGGTAGAGTTCTGACCTGACATAAACCTTCTAAAATTTTAGTAAATATAATCACTACAGGTAACTTCTTATCATTACTTCCTGTTATATTAGTCGTGCATATTATGCAATGTAGCTGTGTGTAATGAATATGAAATTGTGAGCAATAAAGTCAATTTAATTGGTTCGATTTTCCACGGCATGTTCCATTTAACCTTACATGAATATAATTTAAATTACATAATTATTGTATCCAATCCAAAGTAACAGCTTATTGAATAGAATTCTTAGTGAACAGTGGCTATCAGCAGCTACCCCATGCTCTACATCGGATGATATTCATCTCGAACAGTAACGCGCATGATGGCTTCGACGCGTGGTATGTCAGTACGTGCGAGATTGGGAGCGCGTGCGCAGAGATTTGATCATAGCATAGTTACTGGCAGTAGCCACGCTGCGAACGACCATTAGCCAATGCGCCGAGCGGCCTGTCTGGTGGTCTGACGAAATTCGGAGGTGTCATGAACATGGCCTAGCTAGCCTCGGAGTCATAGTGAGTTGTATGAAATATGTAGTGGGTGACGATGTGAAACGTTGGGTTGACTAAATTCAGATTGCTTAAGATAGGTAAGGTTAGACCAAACAACGTCAGCTTATTGACGCCTGATTTGTTTGGGTATCAACAATATGGGAGTGGAACTACTGCGCATGCCCCCAGTGTGACTAGGTCGAGCGAGATGAGGGCAGGCACCGCAACGCGCTACAGTTAAGGTGTTACGTTACAATGAGCGGCGGCCGCTATGCGCGACCGTTGCCCGCCTCGACGTCTTAATGCCGCCAATTAAACTCATACACGACGTTTTTAATGCCAATGATAATCCTTAGTGTGGTTGTTATTGTCTTAACATCTTAATTTAGTATCGCAAACCACAACATGGTGACCAAAATTATTGTTATCGGAAAGTGATGGGTTCAAGCCATTGTTTGCAAAGAGGTTCGGCATTTGTATCGCAGGCTGCAAGTGACGGATCATAATTTTTGACCGAAATATTGCATTCGTCGCGGGGGCCCCCCACATGCAACATCTCGACACTGAGCGTGTGCACTCGGCGATACATACGGACCAATCATCAAATAAAGAAGGCACTGATCCTTGATAAAAGTTCAAGAAGTAATAGTCTAATTAGATTTAATGATATTTAACATGAAGTTGTGGTTCCAAGTTGTGATGATTGCATAGTTAAAAAATCGCAGAGCACATAGGTAATTCGCGTTGCAACATACAATTAGTCATTAATGATGATTGACACACGTTGGCGCGGCTGAGTGGGCCCGGCAAGAAGCGTGATCGCCAGTGCCACGTTCCCCGAGAGTGAAAACGCTGTGGCAGAAGCGTTTTTCGCGGCGTAATGCTCCATTATGCTTTAGTTCTCAGTCGAACATAGAAATAGAAAACGGTTAATTGATGCACCGAAGCAAAAACGCCGCGAACAACGGGGGGCCGCGCTGACTGTGTTCTCTATGACCGTGTTTTATTTACTATAAGAGTTACTACGATGTTCTACTGCTTACGTTATGTTTATTATTCGTTCACGTGATGAGTTTGGTATAATCAAGGTAGATCCTTTATTTATAAGAATATCGAATACCTATCATTAATAGTTTCCATCAGATGATTACATCTCTCTCTTACTAAACGTGAATCGTCGCGTGTGAGGTTAAATTATTTAAAACATGGCCCCGTTGACGACCGCTAAGTCGATAATACGTGACTCTATTCGTTGTCTTTCAAAGTAAGTTTACAAATTAAAATCATCATAAACATGTGTACATTAATTGAGCTAATTCATTTACTGAAAGGCGGGTATGTAAATCAGGTTGCATCTCATTCCGTTTAGACTAACTCGATTACCGGCGTCGGCGCATGAGTCACGCGAGCGGTCCCACGACACCTCTGTTTGTTGTTCAATTTGCGCCAAATGCGCGTTTGTACAAGTGTCGCCCCGGCCGCTGCCAGTATCACCGATCGCCTCGATATTTGAAGATTTTTAAAGCTATCATAGCATCGATTGATGCGAGAAAGCAACTAATCATGTTTGGACGGATCTTACAATTAGCTGAATCACGACCATCATTTCCGAAAGCACAATTGATCAATGGTCATTTCTAAATTCAACAAAGGCCGAGCGGGCCGCTACTCGTGCGCCGCGTACATTCCTCGATGCGATCGTTTTCTCTCGTGTTTATGTTGTTTTTATGCAATCAGCGATTTGCGACGCGACACGCAACAATGCAACATACACCTCGACTCGATTTCATATTTTCATTTGTTTTTTTCATGCTCATCTCTCGAACGGTGATGGTGATGTGTGACAAACCCGAGACAGTCCACTTCGGCAAAACGAGTTACGGTTCTCAATAATAGTCGGCCTAGTTTCGCAATCCGAGATGGAGCCGAGTAAAAAAGTAATCCTTGAATGAGAACATTATTCGTTCAACCTCCATGTTAGGACTCGAATTTGTACCATAAAAGTAAACAAGTTTCGATGCGTGAGTTCGCGCAGCGACCTTAGTGGAGGGACTCGTGAACTCTCGCGCGCCATTTAAGTTTTAACTGTTGCATAAAAGCGGTCGGGCGAGAGTTCACGTTCCCGTTGCCGATGCATTCGCCGGCGAGCGGAGACAGTGAGATCATTCCTCGGATGTAACGAGAAAAGCGAGCGCGGAAAGTATGCGGGCGCCCGGCCGCGCCCGCCCACGCGTCCCCAGAATAGGCGCACCATCTCGCTCGGAGGAAAAGCGCTATGCACAAATAAAGTTACGCACCAGGAAACCAAATACACTCGCGGGCGGACGGCCGCGCGCGCCGCCCGCCCCCGCCTTAGGCTAGTCGCTCAGCAGGTTAGTCGGGCGGACCGATGGTGTGGATGCGTATGACAGGTACAGTGCAGCACTCACCCTGGTGCTGGGTCATCATCTGGCGCGAGTAGTGGTGCTCGGTGCGCTGCACGCGCTCCTGCTGCACGCGCCGCTCCGAGTGCTGCTCCGAGTGCTGCTCGGAGCGCTGCTCCGAGGACCACCTCGACTGCTTCTCCATCACGCCGCGGCGCAGCACAACGCACAAAAAACTCTCACTCGACGCTACTTGTCCTTACGGAACTCTTGATAATACGCCACTTATAACTTATACTAGTAGTCCACGGGTTCATTTAGCAGAAGTCAAGTCATTATAACCCAAGTCCAACAACCAAGACGTCGGTCGATTGCGAATAGTTAGCGGATAGTGTGGAGCGCGCGCTGCGCGAGCGCCGCGAGGGGTGGCGCGGGGGGCCGCGACCGAAATACGACGGGTTATTTCGAGACCAGCGCACTCCCGCGCCGCCGCCCCTCTGCGCCCCGCGAGCCCGCAAATTTCGCATACCTCCAGGATCTCCAACACGAACCTTCCCGATATAGTTCGCACAATACACATATCAATTCAATACGCCATAAAATACCAAAACTTCACACTGTTTGCGCAGATGTAACTCGGTAAATACGAGTAAAACGCTAACTGTGTTAATTCTTTAACAAGCAAATAGCGCTACTGTTACGAGTAATTCAAGCGAAAGCATAACTTTGCTCTGATGAGATCAACGAACACTACGGTGGCCTGTTTCGCCGGTTACTGCTAACTGTTAGATAGTAATCTAGCATTTTTAAACACTTCACAAAAACTACTGCATATTTAACTGCCAAAGTTTGTAACGCAGTTTTTTCCTTAAAAGTCGAAAGCGAAGTTATTTATTTGCTGGCCACTTTCTTTAATTTCCATTGGAAATAAACATTTCTACGATTCTTGTTAGTGTCTATCAAATGTCGAATTACTGCTTGTTTGTTAAACCCGTGTTTTGGTGTAAAACATAAATTTAACAATTATACAAAATAGCACTCAATAACCTAGAGCTGTAGAAACATAATTGCACTCGAACACTAATAAAACATTAATTAAGATAACTTTATCGTGGCCAAATCGAGTTACGAGCGAGGGCTGAGAGGCAGACAAAGAGGCATCAGTCATTAGTCATCATCGCATCACGGGGTGATTAGCGAACGCGCGCGGACCGTTACGGCTGCGCCGGCGCCGCGAGCACGCTAACTTCAAAACTGCAACTAACTAACCTATTTCCAATAATTTATGGCAAGTAAACTGGGTTATCAGTTTTATTACAACGTATTTTATGTTCAATTGGCAGGCAGGTTTTTCTTATTACCGTGATTAGTCAGATAGGTGTCTAATGATCTATGGAAATATTATTCTAAAGCCATCATTTTAAAAAACAAAATTAAACTGATTTAAGGCAAAACACTATAAGTCATAATAGACATGTTGACACCACCAATCAATTGACGTACTTTTTAAAACTGTCAAAACGAAACTCTCCCACTCTCCCATACATTTTGTATGGCACTACAAGCAAAGTGACGTCCCTATTTTGTCAACTCAATCAAACTACTTTTTTCAATTACAATGCGAACAAAAATCGTAATTTACAGGTAATATAAAATTAATTAAGTTATTATTACCAGAAAGAAGGGTCTTTTTAAAAAAGTTGTGGTTTCGAATTATAGGGGTATGGTGTCAAACTGTCTATTGTGTAACAAACAAGAGTATCGTAGGTATCTCTAGCTGTTTAATTTATTATTTCTGCTTTCAGTCTCTTTCTGCAGGGAAATATATTATGAGTAAAATAAAATCAGTCCCGCAAAGCAAATCTTAAGTAAGTAGGTATGCCATAGTAATTACATATTATTTAAGGGAGAGTCCGCTAATTTGGACCAGTTTTTTTCAATCCCATTTTACACATAGTTTTATTTTGTTTTTGCTAATGTCCATGGTATATAATAAAAGATACATTATTCAACTTACTATTTCATAAGTATTAATTAACATGATTGTTGTATATTTAGCACAAATCAATAAAGTACGAGTTCAGAGCTTCGGTCCAATTTAGCCAACCGGTTCGATAATTTGTACCACAGGGTTACTAAATTGGATTTCAATAAATTTCAAGCCTTTAAAAAAACTATGGCAAAATATTATATGATACATTCTTAATAAATTAGGAAACGAAGAGGAACAGTAGTTAATAACATAGACAATCGATATTGTTTTACACGTTATCACGATTTTAAGTACAAGTTTTGTAATTCCAATTATCGTAACGCACACTTGTACCTAATCTACTTTGCCAGTCTTTTGCTTTCATTTATTGTTTGTCAAACATAACTACGCTATTATAACTTCAAAATATGATTTACTAAAAAAAATTTCAAAATCCTTTGGTAAAGTTCCATACAACTTGATGTGGTACAATTTAGCCGACTAGGTGATAGTGCTTTTTAAAAATCGGTAAAAAATATAGCTTATAAATACCGAAAAATGTTTTAAATAATTGTAATCCACACTAATTTACGCTTCTAAATAATATATTAGAAACATCCTGTGATTAAATTTAACAAAATTACAATCTAAACATGTATTGTCAAAAGTTACTTGAAAACAATGAAAAAATACTTTTCAAAATAAAACAATCGTGTTTGTTGTCATGGCAAAAACCACATGGCCGATATTAATTGATTTTAGTTGTGTCTCGCTGAGTGTTGCAATCACAGACATTCAATAAATACTTTACGAAATATGAGGGTGGTACAATTTACCCGGCGGTACAATATACCGAACTCTCCCCTATTGTAAGAATTAGGGAGTTGCACCATTTTACTTTAACTTTGACAAACGTCAAAAATCTGTCAAACTCCATTCAAAAAGCACCGGTTATTGTTATTGTTACGGTTAAAATTAGCTGGTACAACTCGGCCTTAGTATTCTCTGGACAATTATGAAGCAAGAAATATAAGAACTTGCTCGTTAATTAAATAAGTTTTTCATATCTCTCGGAAAATGCTCGGAACATCAAATTCTAATCAGTTAATTTCATACCAGCCAATTAAAAAAACTTTTTTCGGGTAGCTTAATATGAATGATGATGATATATTAGATGATTACAAATTACCCGTTTTTCGTTCTTTAAATCGGAAACCATTTTAGAAAGAATCATTCTTGTAAATTCTGATAGAGTTTTACTATGAAGTGTAACAGCAACGGCACCGGTAAAAGAAGAATGCAAATCATAAAATATGCATTTGTATTTTATACGTTTATCGTTTTAATTGTAATGTCATAGGTTAGTTAATGAGACGTATCATAAAGAGATGATTCGAACGAAGTGTTGTTTATATTGAAAATAACGTAGTTGTAACAAACTCTATCTACTCGTACAACAAATCCCAATTGAATATAATTCATACTCATATAAAATTTCTTTATTATGGTAGAGAATAAATAATTCACTTAAAATAGGTTTAATCTGTAACCCAAACATAGTGTTACTTCGATAGTGAGTGTAGTAGAAGTTAATTAAATGAAAGAGTGGACTGTATACAATTAGTTGTCTATTCGGTATAAATAATTAACAATGTTATCGAGACCGTTTTGTGCAAAGTCGTTGAAGAGAGAGCGTCAGGATCGTCCTCTTCGATGTTCGCTCGCGAACCGAACATTGCTCGTTCGTTCGCCGAACGCTCGCCGCTCCCTCCGGTCACGCCGCCCGCGGGCAATGTCCGTGAGTAGACACATAGGTGTAATTTAAAAATGCATTCGCTTTTGAAGTGTAACATTTTCCCACTGCAATGGCGTCGATGCGCGTTTTAATTAGAACAAAACTCCGGCGGGTGGCTCTGCTGCACACATCGCGGCGCTTCATCAGCCGGCCCGATGGACACAGAATTTTTCATGGCTTCATTCTTCTCGCTCCGTCCTGTACTTATTTCTTTCTGGCGAAATGTAGCGGTCACTTATTTTTCTCACTTAGTCCCTGGAAAGCAGAAAGATAAGTCTTGGCAGTTGAATTCTCATAGTACTAGTTATGATCCGTAACAAGATGGGTATATAAATAAAAAACGAAATAGTTTTTATTTTTAAAGAATTACTAATAGTTCCGTTAGCCCATTATACTCGTACTAAGCTCAAGATCAATAATCAAACGTATGTTGTTAGCATTTAAGAAAACGTTATTATTTTTGTAAACTTGAAAAAATAAAGATTATTGTAAACTGTTTCTTATATCGTACTAGCTGGCCCGGCGAACTTTGTTCCGCCTTAATGGCAATAAATAAGCAGACTTTTTTTTTATTTCGAACGGGATAAAAAGTATCCTATGTCCTTCTCCTGGCTCTAAACTACCTCCCTGACAATTTTCAGCTAAATCGGTTCAGCCGTTCTTGAGTTATAAGCGAAGTAACTAACACAACTTTCTTTTATCCCTTTCAGCCCAGCCGAACACAATTGTGACGTTAATTTAAAGATACATTTTGGCGGTATTTTAAGACGTAAGTGATCGGGCCCACAGCCGCACAATTGTGACGGATATGCTCTATCTATTGGTGTGAGTAAGATAGCCAGCAAGCGCCGCGAAATTCAAATTAAAACGGGTTCATTTTGCCGTTGCTGTTGTTTAGGGTATCGCTGCGTGTGAGTGATTCTAATTACATTAAAATTATGCCATTGCTATGTTATTATTGTGATTTATAGTTAATTATGAACTGTTTTACGTAATAGTGAATAAATTTGTTTGTATTTTTGGTTAATTCTCAAGAAAAAGTGTCACAGAAGTATAAAGTCACAATTGTATCACTGCGGGCCAAACTACATACTACATTGCATTGGCTAGATATTTTTTTTCCTTAATTACGATACAATTGGGGAGTTACTGGAACAGTAAGATATGGAAGATGTTCATGGGGCATGTGTGCAAGATTAGAAGATTCTTACTCCTCCAAGAATGATGCTCCATTCTCATCTTTGAGGGCAACCCCCAATCAAAATGACGGCAAATGGATAAAAAAAAAGATTTCGTGGCAAGACAACTAGTCAAGCTCAAGATAATTAAAGTAATGAACAGCCCAAATCATTAGCGGAGTACTTAGAAATTTATTTTAATGCCGATCTGTTTGTAATGTTTGCTATCGCTGCTGAGCAATATTAAATGGCCGAAAAAGGCCAGCAAATGAAATCGCAATGTAGATCTAATGAAATCAAAATAATCTTTGGGGTTCATGGGACTATGAATTGCATTAAATGCCCTCGAATCAATTTTTTTTGTATCGGGACTTTGAATGAGTTGGGCCCACGATGATACAATTGTACGCCCCCTGAAAAACCATGAAAACAACATAGTACCACTGAAAATGTTC